GTGCATCCCGCTACGGGCACCGGTACCGGCTGCAGCCGTGTGCATCCTGATATGGGAACGGGCAACCAGCCACAACTGTGTGCATCCCGGTATGGGTACCTGCATCCCGGCACTGGTACCCACATCCCAGTACAGTAACTACACCCTGGTATGATACCTGCATCCCAGCATGGCACCCACATCCCAGTACTGGTACCCACATCCCAGTGCAGGTACCTCCATCCCATCCAGGTATGTGCATCCAGGTATAAGTACCTTAATCCTGGTACTGGTACTCATATGCTGGCATGGTACCTGTACTGGTACCCACAGCCTCATACAGTGCTTGCATCCCAGTATGGATAGCTGCATCCTGGTGTGGGTATAGCATGGCATGAGTACCCGATCCCATTATGGTGCCTCCATCCTGGTGTGGTACCAGCATCCTGGTGTGCCTCCAGCACTGGCACTGCCCAGCACAGCACTCGTGGGGCAGCCTGACACTGGGTCCCTTGAACTGGCACCTTTATGTGCTGTGGGAGTGTCACCCAGGCCAGACCTGCTCCCCTGGTGTGCCACAAGTGGCCCCACTGCCCCAGGCCATGGCTCAGCCCCACCGTGAGTGCCCAGGGAGCTCTCCAGCCCTGCCAGGCTCCTTCCCTGGGACTGTGTGACCATGGGTGGGCTCCCACGCCCCTGCCACGCGTGTCTCCTGCCCCACAGCCGTGCCTGCCCCAGCACAGCATCTGTGGCTCTGGCATAACAGTGCTATTAATACACAGCACAGCACGTGGGCCTGCTGCTCCCGTGGGATCCAGCCTGGTTTGGAGTCACCAGGGAGCTCTGCGTGTCCCGCCTGCCTTGGCATCCCCTCCTCCACCCTGCGTGGCAGCACCAGCTGTGCTCCCACCAGTCCTGTCCCCTGCTTTGCCGTGTGGGAAGGGTCTCTTCCCACCCCACGGCCCGGAGGGAATCCGGGAGCAGCCTGGCCCCATCCAGACTTGGTGCAGAGACCCTGGAAAAAGCCTTTTCCCCAACTGTGTCCGCATTCCCCGTGCCCAGCGCCCATGGCTGAGCCTGCAGAGCCAGAAATAGCTGAGGGAAAAGCTGCCACGGGAAAACAGGAGCAGGGAGGGGAGGCAGCACGGCCCCGGGAGCTGCAGGTGCTGGGGAAGGCAGCTGCAGGGCAGAGGGGAGCCCTGGGTGGGGATGGGTACACAGAGCCACTGCTGCCAGGGGAGCTGAGCCTCCTGCTTCCCATGGGATCCTGCCAGAGTGACAAGGGGACCCACCACCTCCTTCCCAGTCTGCCCCCACAGACTGGCACTCGTTGCACAGGGAACTGTGTCCTCAAACCCCAAGAGCCCTGTGCCAGCCTTGTCCCAATGTGCCAGGCATCAGCTCCTGCCCTAAACCCTGTAACGCCCTGACCGGGGCAGCCCAGGCCTCGGGTCTCCCTGCTCCCATAGCAGGTACCAAGGTGCTGCTGCTCCCCAGGTGACACAGGACACGGTGTGCAAGCAAAGGTGTGTAAAAATTTATTCTGTTGTAGAGAACAAACCTAAAACATCACAGCTCCAGCAGACGTGGAGCAGGGACAGTGCCCAGGCTCGGGCCCTGCTGGCAGAGCCGCGTGACGGGCACGGACAGCGACACGGAACACGGGGGACACGGCCCTGGCAGCGCCAGGAACCACAGCAATGAGCAGTGCCTGATCGGCAGAGCAGCTCTGGCACAGACAGGGACCCCTGGGCAGCCAGTGCTGGGACTGGGCACCGGCAGGACGTGGTCACCTCCCTGGGACTGTCCCTGTGGGAGATGCCGTCGCTGCCGAGTGACTTCTCCACCCCCTCACTGGCTCCAGGCCACGACAAAACGTTTAAATAGACAGAACACACAAAATAAGCAGCTCCAGGTGTTCCCTCGGAGCTGCTCCCTCAGCTGCCTGCAGAGACCGACCCTGAGTGTGCTGGGGAAGCCCAGGCTGGTGTCACTCAGGCAGGGGCTGATCTAGGCTCCCCCTGCGAGGACAGGAGCCAGGGACGGGTGCTGGCCTTGCCCTTCGGGATCTGGGGACAGGGACTGTGGGGCTCTGGCCCCGCAGTGGTGCTGAGCTCAGTCCCAACAGCTGATGCCAGCTTGGGCATGAGCACGGGACAGGGGAGGAAGAAGCTTCCAGTTGCACTGGGAGATGCAATGCCAGAGCCTTGTGCTCAGGACAGGGCTCTGTGGAGGGGACAGCAGGACATGGGCTGCAGGGCACAGTGTGGCACCAGCTGAGAGATGGCACTGCCAGGGAAATACTGGGGACAGTCCCTTACCAGGGCTCCCAGAGCCCTGCAAATACTGGTGGCCAGGGCAAGGCTGGGGAAGGGAGAGGCCACACAGCCAGGCAGGGGCAGAGCAACTGCCTTTTCCCAGCACTGGCCAAGGAAAACCGGGACAGGAGATGGAGATGTGCCCCAGGGAGCTGGAGCCATGAGCTCATTGGGCAGCTCAGCTGCTGCTGGAGCTCCCAGAGCATTGCCCCCACCAGAATTGAGGGCACCAGCACAGCCCCCTGGGGAAGGGATGTGCCTGGCCCAACAGACACTGAAACACTCACGTCTGAGCCTAAAAACAACCGTTAAAAAAAATTTAACAGAGTAAAAGACGAGGGTGACCCTCCAGCTGCTGCTGAGGCAGAGCTGCCTGCCTTGCTGCCACAGCTGGGCCAGGAGGCTGCAGAGCTGCCCGGGTGAGGCTGGTCAGTGCCAGGGCTCTATCCTGCTGGTGCTGGGATGTCCATTTTCACTGGTCCTGCAATCCAGGCTGGGGGGAGAGGAACATTTCCTACCAGGGCCCAGCTTGAGGCAGGGCCTCTGACCAGGGTGTCACTGGGGACAGGGAGCTGGTGCCACAGGGGGGACAGGGTGTAGTGGCTCTCATTTGTTCTTAGCCAGCACACGGTAGAGGGTGAAGCCCACGAGTGCTGTCACCGTGGCCCCCAGGGCCACCCGGAGCCAGAAGGATGCAGCTCCCAGCTCCACGGCGTTCAGGTGCCTGTGAGGGGAGAGGAGGCTGGTGAGGGAGGGGCAGGGAGATGGCAGCACTCCCACCCCACACAGGGAGGTTGGGGGGTCCCTGGGGGCTGAGCACAGTGCTGGGGAATACAGCCCAGCTGCAGGGGAGGCTCCAAGAGAATTCCCAGTCCTGCAAGCCAGAGTGCCTGTCACCCAGCATCACCATCAAGCCAAAGGATGGCTGGTGGGATGGATGTGGCTGTCCCCTCCCCGGGCCTGGAAGTAGCACAGCAACACCTAAATAATTAGCACAAGCACAGTAGTGTGTGTGACTTTCTAGGTCAAGCTGCCTCCCAGCCCCGAGGGCAGGGACTGGGGGGGATGGCACAGCCGTGACCCCAGCGGAGGTGCTGCCCCAGCGTACACATCCCCTTCCCAAGCACGTGCTGGGCAGCACCAGTGTGCTCCTTTCCAGGAAGGGAAGCCATCCATAATTCATGCCCACTGCCTCGGGGGAGCAGAGCCAACCCCCAGCCCTCCATTATGCCGTTACTTATTTATACCACATACCCTACGATATATTAAGAATATTTAAATTTTAATACTGCAGAGGGGGAGGAAAAAAAAGCCTCAGCTCTAAAAATAAAGTTGTTTATTGAAAAGAAGCTGGAGGGAAAACTACTCACTAGTAATCCCATCCTGCCTTCCAACGCTCCCACACACTCTCCCCAGGGCTTGGCCCAGCCTGGGTTCCCCCTTCCCACCCTGAAGCAGAGAGATTCCACACCCAGCCACGTGCTGCTGCCCCCCAGGGCCAGCCTGGCACAGCCCTGCCCCTCCGGGGGACGCTTCTCCCCAGAGGGAGCCTGTGTAGCACAGGTCTCGCGTCACTGACCTCTTTTCCAGCCTGATCCATCTCATTGGGAGAAAAGAGCTGCCAACCCCACCATGGGCTGGGCAAACTAAGCTGGCTACTCCTCTCCAGCATTTTTTATCTTAGGGTTCAAAAATAAACACTCCCGTAGCAGGATCTATCTAATAAATGTGTCAGAGACACAGAGGAGGCAGAAGAAACCTCCACCCTCTGCAGTTAGGGGGAGAAATGGCCTTTCTGTTCCAATTAACTTGTATGAGCAGATTACAGAATCACAGAATCACGGAGTGGCTTGGGTTGAAGTGACCTTAAAGCTCATCCCATCCCACCCCTGCCACGGGCAGGGACATCTTCCACTAGCCCAGGTTGCTCCAAGCCCCATCCAGCCTGGCCTGGAACACTCCCAGGGATGGAGCAGCCACAGCTTCCCTGGGCAACCTGTGCCAGTGCCTCAGCACCTCACAGGGAGGAATTCCTCCCCAATACCCAACCTAACATGAAGCCATTCCCACTTGTCCTGCTACTCCATGCCCTAGCTGGCACCAAAAGCTGGAGACAAACCAAAGCAGTGTGGCAAAGGGTGGTGTGGACACAGCTCCTCTCCCAGAGCCCCTCCACGGATGGATACTCACGGGAAGGTGGCGGCGGTGGCCAGCTTGGTGTAGACAGCAGTGCTGGGAGCTCCCTGGCTGTGGTAGGAGAAGAGGAAGGGAGGAGGGAGGCAGTGCTTGTAGCAGAACTCTGCTGGGGACAGCCCTGGCTGCTGGCTGGCTTCTGGCAGGTCTGTCTTGGAGGCCACGAAGACACAAGGGATCTGGCTGTCCATGTAGTGTTGCTGCAGACAGGGAGAAACCAGAGCCAGGCGTTAAGCAACCAACCTCTGGGAGATGTGGGGCTGCCCAGGGCCCTTGTAAATCCCCCAGGGCTCCTGCCAGCTACCTTATAAACAGTGGCACAGTAGCTGAAGGACTTGGGGTCGCTCAGGTCATAGAGGAAACAGGCGACATCGCAGGCTGCGTCCGACGGCTTCGTGAACGTCGTGTCAGCACCAACCTCACACAGCTGGGGCAGTGGGAAAGGGAGCTGAGGCACAGCCTGTTCCAGGGTCAGCTGTGCCTCACACCAGCACAGGAAGCTCGGCCCCAGCCCAGGGTGTGGGGATATGGGGCACACAGCCAGCTCTGCTGCAGGTCACACATGGCACTCCCTCCTCTCCCAGACTTACTATGAGGTACTTCTCCTGGCCATTGACCTGCACCGTGTTGATGGTGTAGAGGGATGGCTGTCCCAGGTTCTCCCTCTGGGCCTGCACCAAAACAACCCCATCAGACAGTGGGGACAAAGGCAATGTGTGGGGAGGGGCAGCATTTCACACTGCTCTGAGCCCCCATGGCTAACAGCCAGGGCCTGCCATGAGATGTGGAGCAGCTCCTAACAGGCAGGGCCAGTCAGCATCACTGGGGTCACACCAGGGAGACAGTGTAGGACAGGCACAGCCTCTGTACACCCTCGGAACAGGCGGAGGGAGCACACCCACAGCCTCAGTCAGAATTAGGGACTGCAGAAGCACAGCACCCAGCAGCACAGAGGGGTGTGAGACAGCACACAGGGGCCTGACTGTTGGCAGGGAGGTGGCTCTAGAGCCGGAGGGGGCGGAGAGGGAGCAGCCACTCACCGCCAGGCTCCTGCCGAGGAAGGCCTGCAGGAAGGTGGACTTGCCTGCACCCCTGGCTCCCAGCACCTTGCACAGGAACACGTTTCTCTGCGTTTGGCCTTTCTCCAGGTCAATCCTCTTCTCCCGGGTCACTGTCGGGAGGGAGGGAGGGCGGTTGAGGGCCGGGAGGGAGCCGAGGGGCACGAGGGGAGGGCATGGCCATACCCGTCAGGGCTTGTGTCTGGGAGTCCTGCTCCGACAGGATGGGGTAGCCCAAGTAGCCCAAGCACTCCAGGCAGTGCCGTACATCCAGGTAAGCCATGAGCCTGGAGACAGAAAGCACCAGGAAGGTGACAGGGTCGGCAAGGGCTGAGTGATGCGCCCAGGGGTGGGGGAGAGGGACTGAGCTTACGTCCACTGGCAGAGGAATCCATGCAGGGAAAGCAGGCCTGTATCAGTGGTGCATACCGTGTGGTAGAGCTCTGGGCCCCAGGGCACGCGGGGGAACACGCTGAAGAAGTTCTGCAGCTCTGTGTGCGAGAGGGCTCCATCCTGGTCCTGCCAAAACATGGTGAGTCAGCACACAGCTGTGCCCACGGGGGTCCCTGGCACAGCACACACCTCCCTCCCCCTGCAGACACAGGAGGCTGTTGATGGCAGATCGATGGCAGCAAGGCCAGAGCTGGGAGTGTGCAGTGCCTGTGCCCCAGGGACTGCCACCACTGCAGGAGACAGGCCAGTGTGCTTTGGGATTGCAGCTGGAACCAGGCAGGACCTGTCCACATTCACCCCACAGCCCTGGGCTGCTCCTGCCTTCCCTGGGGCCAGCTGGCCCAGCCATGCTGCAGGGCAACTAGCCCAAGGTTTGTGTGTGGCCATCAGTCACCACAGCACCACAGGACGGTGTGTCTGAAGGGGATCTGCTGGCAACTGGGCATACAGGGATGTGTGTCCACTCAGTGCTGCCACTCCCCAGGGCCACAGAGCTGCTCTGGGCACACAGGGATGTCGTCCCCAAACCATTCCCTGTGGATACAGAGCTGCTCCGGGCACACAGTGCTGCTATTTCCCTGAGCCATTCCCTGTGGACAGAGTGCTGTACCCCAGGTGCACATCACCATCTGAATAGCTAGTCCAAGCAGGTGCATGCAGATCCAATAAATCCCCTTCTCCCACTCTCCAAAGAGCCCAAGTGTGGCACAAATGGGTTGTTTTCTCTCCCTCTCTGTGGCCTGGCAGTGCTCCACAGGGCTGGCAGCCGCGCAGATGCCAGGCCTGGTCCGTGGCTGCAGGCCAGCAGCTGTGCTGCCTCCCTGCTGCAGCCAGGCACCGTGAAGGGCCACACCAGCCTGATGCTAACTCAGCCCCTGAGGGCCCAAACTGCCCGTGACAACGAGCCCATGCCACTGACAAGCTACCAGACTACCTACAGCTTGCTGTGGCTACTCCCTGCTCCCAGAAGTGGGAATGCTGTGGCAAAGCCCTTCACTGGTGGTGTAGAGGGGTGGGCAGCTGTGCCCAGGTGTGCAGGACCTTCCCCAGGAGCCCCACCTTGTCGTGCTTCTCAAAGAGTCGCTGCAGGAACTGGTATCCCAGGTGGTTGAGCTCTGTGGAGCAGCCAGGGGGGAGGCGGAACCTGTTGGGAGAATTAAGGAATGATTTAGGTTGGAAAAACCCCCCAAGACCATGGAGTCCAACTCTTAACTGCTAAGCCCCTCACTTAACCATGTGCACACGTGTCACATCAACATGTCCTTTAAATCCCTCAAGGGATGGTGACTCCACCCCTGCCCTGGGAAGCTGTGACAGTGCATGACCACTCTTTCAATGAGGAAATTTTCCCAGCATCCAATCTAAACCTCCCCTGTATCTTCCGTATCTTACTTTCCAGTTCAGACACTCCAGTGAGCCCTGAGCAGAGGGCAGTGTGGGAGCAGATCTCCCCCAGAGCACACAGCTCCCCACTCCCTCCCTGCTCGAGGCCAGTGGTTGCCCCCAGGCCTGGCTGCTCCTGACACAGCCTCCCTGCAGAGGCCTCTCCTCAGCACATCCCCTAGCCAGGGAGATGCTGTGCTCTCTGCCTCGTGCCCAGGGCTTCAGCAGGGCACAGCAGTGCCCCGAGGTGCCACCCACCAGCATGTCCCTGTCACCTCCCTGCAGTCTGGGGAGAGGAGGAGGCAGCTCCCAAGCCAAACCCTTCCGTTACTGCCAGATCCACCTCCAGGGTGGCAGGGAGCAGAGAGGTGACAGCAGCTGCACAATGAGCTGTGCTGACAGCTCACTGCTTCCGACACAGCCGTTCTGCCTCCGCTCAGGCAGGGACAGAGCAGCCTCTAAAACCCTCTCGCTGATGGCAAGGCAAGCCTGGGATTTCACTCCTGCCTAAATCAGAGCAACAGTGCAGCCAGCAGCACCAAGGCCTGCAGTGCTCATCACCAACCCCACGTGGCAGCTCCTGCCTGCAGGGGAAGGTGAGGACTGTGAACCCAACCCTGACCTAATGGCCCCAGCAGCCCCCAGGGTGCAGGAGGAACCCAGCCAAGGTGCTGAGCTGTGCACCAGGGGGACGTGACCCCCTGCCTGCCCCTCTCCAGGCAGGATACACACTGTGGGTACAGGTAGTCATCTGTCAGCTCCAGCTCGTCGTCGTAGCCAAAGCGGCGAAGGATGGTCCAGGTGGTCTCGTGCCGACCCCTCTGGATGAAGAGAGTGTTGAGGAAGAGGAAGCCTGCAGGAGAGATCAGGGGACTCAGACACAGGGTGGGCAACTCAGCCTCAGGGATCCACTCCTCGGGACTAGGCTTCCCTTGGGAAAACAAGCTGCTTGGACAGCCACAGCAGGCACTGTCTTGCTTTAATGAGGGACTAATTAGGCTTGGAATGAGAGCTGGGAGGCTCAGCCCGAGGACAGGGCCCCTAGGGACATGCTGAAGATGGGCCCTTCCACCCCGGGCTGGGAAGGAGCAGGGAGCCCCTGTGCTGTTACCATTCAAGGTCAGGCCATTGTCCTGCACTCCATCCGTTGTGTTCTTCCACACAACCATCTTCACATCCTCCAGGGCCTGTGGAGCCAGCGGGTTTCCAAAGCAGGACTTCTGCCTCCCAGGAGAAAGGTCATAGTCAGCAAAACACTCAAGAGAGCACAACCCTGTTTCACCAGCATGCCCCTCTCCTGGCAAGGGATGTGGTTTCAAAACCACCCAGTTCAAGGACTTCTGCCTCAGACCTTGACCAGCATCAAAATAACTCAGCATCAAAATAACTCAGGGCTCTCAGCATCTCCAGTGTCTCCTGCTCTTCTCATGGCAGAGCAAACTTGGCCCAAGCTTAGGGAGATGGAAGACCTGTGGAACCCCATGGGCTCAGAGATGTATCTTATGGTGTTTTAGCTGTGCAACACAGAATATTCAGAGTTGGAAGGCACCCATAAGGATTATCCAGTCCAACTCCTGTCCCTGCACAGACACCCCAACAATCCACCCTGTGCCTGAGAGCATTGGCCAAACACTCCCTGAGTTCTGTCAGGCTTGGGGCTGTGACTGCCCTGGTGAGCTGTTCCAGTGCCCAAACACCTCTGGGGGAAGAACCTTGTCCTGATATCCAACCTAACCCTGTTCCAGTGCCCGAACACCTCTGGGGGAAGAACCTTGTCCTGATATCCAGCCTAAACCTCCCCTGACACAACTTCAGGCCATTCACATCATTACTGAACGGGAACAGGACGGCTGTGCCAGGAGAGGGGGAGCGAAGTGAACTCCAGGGACTGGGCAATGTCTCAGCTCTGCAGTCAGGCCTACCTGAAAGTAGTTGAGCTCATCATCACTAAGGATCTGGTTGTTATCTTGGTCGGAGAGGTTGAAAATCCGAGTCAGCGCTCGTGCACACGCAGGTTTCAGCTGCAAGGGACCAACCCCAGGCACCAGTGTCAGCCTGGCCCTTCCTCCTGCCACCCCACACCACAAGCTTCCCTTCCTGCACTGCCTGGAGCAGGCTAGGCCACACCACAGCCACCCTAGAGATGGAATCATGGAATCTTTATGGTTGGAAAAGCTCTCCAAGATCACTGAACTGTTCCCCAGTGCTGCCAAGGCCATCACTAACCATGTTCCAGGTGCCACATCCACGTGTTTTTTGAACACTTCCAGGGGTGATGACTCCAGCACCGCCCTGGGCAGCCTGTGCCACTGCCTGACCAACCTTTCATGGAAGAATTTTTCACTAATACCCAATCTAAAGTCAGTTCATGGGGAATTTTTCTCCCAGACCTCTCCCACCACAGCTAACACACAGTCTGCCCCAGCACACCTTGGGTCTTGCAGATCTCTCTGGCCTGGATATGCTCAGCTAGCTGCAATAAGCACGAGGTCCCTTGTCCTGCCTGTGTCAGCCCAAACTCTCTACCTTCCTTCCAAAATCTCCAGACCAGAGCACTGTGATGGGAAGGAGACTCCAGGAGCCTACCTGCTTCTCCTCTGGGTCGTAGAGGGGGGCTGTGGGGTGCAGCACAGCTTTCTGGGCGTAGTAAAAGAGTTCAGAGATGTTCTTGAGGTTCTTGGCAGAGCACTGGGGATTCAAAGGAAGAGACAGCACTGTGAGCTGATGAGGATGGACAGAAGGTGGGTGATACAAGCTCCCTGAGCCAGGCAAGTTGTACATCGAAGCACAGAGCAATGTTTGTCCATCATAAGGAAAAATCAACAGGAAAAACCTCCTGGTTTTTGCTCTGGCTTTTCTGTGCCTGTTCCACAGCCCCAGAGCCAACAAGGGCTGTGTGTAGCTCCGACATCAGTGATAGCTAGAGATCTAGAGAGAGCAGAGACAGTGAAGGACAGAAAGCCCAAAGCTCAGGCTCTCAACCTCTCAACACGAGGGAGCTCCCTGACTCCAACCAGACCAGCACTCTGAGCCCTCAGGGAGGCTCTGCAGACACCCTCCAGCTCCCTCACCTCCACACAGGTCTCAATCTCTGAGAACTGGTTCATGATGGGCAGGATGACCTCCATGGAGCTGCCCAGCTGCAGGTCAGACTTGTTTCCCACTAAAATAATGGGGATCCTAGGAAAGACACAGAGCAAAAGTGAGGTCACCTTTGTCTCAGTCCCAGCACTGCCCCAGCCACTGGTGGTCCCATGGGGCAGAGCAGGGAGACCCACAGCCCCCTCCACAAGGTCCAAAGCAGCTTTCCTGCCTCCCACGGCCGGGAGCATGCATCTGGAGAAACAGACTGCCTGATCCTGCTTACGCTTTCACCCAGCAACAATATGCTCAGGAGCCTTTAATCCAGCACAGCAGCCTTCTGCCGAAATGATCCACACACAGATTGCAGCTTCTGTGCTCCCAGATTCCCCTGGCAGCATCCTCTCCCCGCCTGGCTGAGGCCAAGGGGGGAGAAAGATCCCTGTCCAGTGGGCCCTGCTGGATCTGGGAGGAGAAGAGCCTCCATGTTCTTCTGCTACAAGTGGTCTTGCCACAAGCCACAATCATGCAATGGTTTGAGTTGCAAGGGACCTCTCATCCTATCCACCCCCTGCCATGGGCAGGGACACCTCCCACTAGCCCAGGTTGCCCCAAGCCCCATCCAGTCTGGCCTGGAGCACTTCCAAGGAAGGGGCAGCCACAAATGGAGGTTACTCCTGTGTTCCCACAAGCTCCTGTCCCACTCTTGCTCTAGTGTCACCTTTCTTTAAAGCCTCTGGTTTGGTCTCTGTCCCGTCAGGAGGAGGTGAGAGTGGTGGGCACCCCACAGTCCCCAGAATTCCCCAGTTCTGCACTCACAGATCACACCACACACAGTACCTGGACCCCTTTTCCAATCCCCCGTTCACCATGGGGATCCACTTAGTGCGAATCTGCAAGGGGAGCAGAGGGAAAGGGCTGTAGTGCACCCTGGGTGGGGGAAGGCAGCTCTCAGGCAGGCAGCAGGGCCTGCAGCCATCTGCTCCCCAGCATTCCAGCAGGCAGAGCACACCCAGGGATGCAATGAGCCTGTTGTGAGGACAACCACCACCGTGGCAGCAACATGTGCAACAGCTTGACCTGTGCTTCCAGGGGTCTCAGACCCCAAAAGCCCCACAGGGCTGGGGGGCATCAGCACATGCATGAAAACCCCAGTGCTGGGAATCCCTTCCCTCTGGCACAGCATGGAAACCCCAGTGTTTTGAACACTTCCAGGGGTGATGACTCCAGCACCGCCCTCAGTGCTGGAATCCCTTCCCCCTGGCACTGCTGCTGGAGTGGGGCCACGTGGAGCCGCCTGGGGCCCAGTACCTTCTCGATGGTGACCTCCTTGGTGACATCATACACCATACAGACTACGTTGGCCTGCAAGAGAGAAGTGCAGGGGGTGGTGGGGTGTCCGTGCAGGCACTGGGTGCCCCCGTGGTGCCCCCACCCTGCCCCAGCAGACAGCGCTGGCACCGAGGCTCTGTGGGAAGCAGACAGGAGGGATCACTGCTGCTTTCAGGAGAGAGTTAAGCACTAATCCCGAGGACACACAGGGTTTAGGCAGGATTTCCTGGAGCTGTTTAAAGCATCTGTATACAGTTGCTGTCTGGGTGGAGGGAGCAGGACCCTCGTGCTCACCTCCTGAGCTGTTAGCCACCGAGGAGGAGAGATTTAATAGCTTTGCTCATGTAAGAGAGAAAGTTTTATGATCTATAATTAAGAAGTCATCTTCTTTCTCTACAGAGTGAAGTTAATCTCAGGGCAAGGAGCAGCTGGGTCCACCCCAGCCAGACAACTCAATGATTCTTCCATGGCTGATCCAAGGGCTCTGGGAACCCCCATCCCTCCCTGCCCTTACCCCCTGGGCTCCAGCTCCCAAATTAACCCCTCTGGGCTACCACTTCATCAGGCAGCCACAGGGACCTGATGCAGGGAGCAGGGGGGCTCTTGCCCAAGCTCAACAACTGCTTCTCCCCTCTTCTGAGTCCATGAGGAACGTCCCAAGGGTGAGAGCACATCATCTGCTCTGCAGCCTCTGCCACTCCCGCTGGGCAGAGCTGCCCCTACTGCTCTCCTTACGGAGGCTCCCGGAGGGACCGGGCCAGGCACATAACAAAGCTTACAAGACAGAGCAGGATTAAACAAGCCTCTAAACAAACCAAGAGCGTTAATCCACGGATAACCAAGGGCCTGTGCCTCCCCGGGCGGCTAACGGGGACAGGGCCCCGCCCCCGGCCAGCCCCGCTCACCTTGGTGATCTCCTCCCGCAGCTCCTCCTCCGTCTGCTCCGACTCTGCAAGGGGAACGGAGCCATCACCCCGTGCCCGGGCAGCCAGGCAGGGAAGAAGTCCGCTGGGGCAGGGCCCTACCTGAGTAGTCCACTATGTGTGTGGGGACCTTCTCGGGGGTGACATCCGCCGGGATGGTGATCTCCTCCGCCCGAGGGGGCACCTGCAATGCCAGCACACCCTCCAGCCAGCCGTGCCACGGGCACCCGGGACAGGGGACACGGCACTTCGGATCCCAACGCAGCCACTGCCCAGTGCAGGGTGGGACGAGCTCCACACCAGAGACCACGCGTGTCCCACGTGGCTCAACAGCCCCAGCCCTCCCTCACACGCAGCCCCTGTGGCTCTGGAGAGAGGCCTTGGGCATCCCCTGGCTCTCTGGAGCAGCACTGAGCTGACTGTCTGGGCTGGGAGCAGGGGAAGGGGTGCAGGACCCCCCTGAGGTGATGCTGCCCAGCACAGCTTCATGGAGGGCACCAGCTGCTGCTGAGCAGTGGGAGAAGCTGGTGGCACAGGGAAAATGAGCCTGGACAGACTGATCCCATTTCCCTCCTGGGATGGGACAGGGAGTGCCAAGCTGGAGGCTCCCAGGGACACAGGCAGGCTGGGGGCTGCTCTTGGCCTGGCTCAAGGCACTAAACCCACCTCCAGTGGGTACAGAAGGGCAGGGCATTCCCTGGCACCTTCCAGGGCTCTGTGCCAAGCCTGGATCTGGGGAGCAGGGCTGGCCCAGGGCTTGCTGTGCTGGTGGACACAACACAGTCCCCAGCAGCACTGAGAGCCCCAGGAGGTACCTCCACCCCTCCCAGGGCAGGGACAGGTCTGAGGAAACCACCTCCACGGGAGCTCTGTGTGCTCCTCTCTGACCTGAGCTCACCTGACCCAGCCAAGCTTTGGTGGTGGCTCCCGTGGCTGTCACAGCCCCAGGGGCTGTAAGCACCCCCGGACACCCCCAGCTGTGGCTGTGCCGCTGGGGACAGAGCTGTCCCACCCAGCCTGGGGCTGTGTGCGTACGTCCCCTCCCTGCTCACCTCCTCGGGGAACTCCTCGCCCACCAGGGCCATGATCAGGGATGTCTTCCCCACCTGGGCTAGGGAAGAAACGGACAGTGTTGGCATTTGCACCTGCACGGGTGAGCCTGGGAGAAACAGGGTCTGGGCGGGACAGAGCCTAGGGAGGACAGAGCCTGGAGGGGGACAGAGCC